CTAGTATTCTCTGCTTTCAGCCAACGTCCATCTCATGACAGCAATGATATCCCTCATGCCATGTCCTCTTCCCCATGTAGTTTGAATTTCTGATTCCTTGATACTGCTATAGCCATTTTTTTGCAGTACTTCAGCAAAATTTTACTTGCATGTGATATTAATGACATTGTTCAGTAACTCCCACAGGCTTTAGAGTCACCTTTCTTTGGAATGGGCAAAAACATAAATCTCTTCCAGTCAAATGGGCTGGTAGCTGCCTTCCAAATATCTTGGCATACATGAGTAAATGCTTCCAGTCCTTCATCAGCTTTTTAAAACATTTCAATTAGTATTCCATCAATTCCTGGAACCCTGTTTTTCGTTAATGCCTTCAATTTTGGTCATAAATTCAGCTTCGACTTCTTCCATCAATATCATTGATTCTTGATTGTATGCTACATCTTGAAATGGCTGAATGTTACTAATTCTTTCTGGCACCGTGACTCTGTATTCCTTCTATTGTCCTTTGAGATGTTCTCCATTATTCATTATTTTGTTTGAATATCGCCTAGTTCTTTTTGGTACAGTGACTCTGTGTATTCTTTCCATGGGCCCTTGCTCTTTTCCATGCACTGAAACCAATTTCATTCCCTCTTTCCAACAGTTAAATTTTAGAGATTGCAGAATTTTGGATTTGGGAGGGATTTTGCTTGTTAGTCCCAACATTCTAAAGATAGGCTGTGCACACCCATTCCAATTATTCATGCAGGATGGAGCAAGGGACACACATTCTTCAAGTAGCTCTCAGAATGATGGAAACGGAAGGTCAGAGCAGACAAGATGGGAGCAGTTTAAAAAAGTAGCCAGAAGAGAGATTGTTTTGCCATTTGGGGGTACACTTCTTTTCTCTCTGAAAATCACTGAATCCACAGACTCCCCCATTCTAAACCTGGACAATTATAAAAACAAAATTGGTGTTTGTCAAGCCTACCAAGTGCATTGGTGTCTATGTTCTGTTATCCTCTGAAACAAGCCTGTACATCACCCTCACCTCATTCACATCTTTGTTGGAATGGACATTAGTTATGGTCATCTCTATGCAGAATATTTCTTTATAAGACATGTCATAAAGACTATATAACTGGTGGAGCGGACCAGTGAAAAAGCAGTAGATGCAGAAACGAATCCACATTTCTGAGTATCTTCTGTGGAGCTCTTCTTTCTTTAATCATAGTACCAAGTTTAAAGGACTACATTTTCATGTCAAACAGTATAATATTTATGGTATATCATATATGAGGTTGCAAAATTTTAAAACCCTCCATAGCAATTCACTTAAAACCTTCAAACCTGTACCAAATATTACCACTCCTTAAGGGCCCCTGTTCAGATTGAGACGGGGAAGGTGTTTCTACTGCATCTTACAGAGACTTCTATACTTTCGTTTTCCAGCACCATCTGAGTTGCTAGGTGCCTTCCAGTTAGTTCTAACTCCTAGGGCCCCTGTGTTCAAAAGAATGAAACACGACCTGTCTTGGGCCGTCCTTACAACTATACTTATTATGTTCAAGCTCATTGTTACAGCCACTGTGTTAATCTATCTTGTCCAGGGCCTTCTTTGTTTTTGCTGCCCCTCCATTCGACCAAGCCTGGTGTCCTCCAGGAACTGGCCTCTCTTAATAACATGTCAAAAGTATCTAGGATGAAGTCTTGCCAGCCTTGCCTCTAAGGAACATTCTGGCTGTACTTCTACCAAAAGAGATTTGTTTGTTCTTTTGGCAGTCAATGATGCTTTCAATATCCTTCACCAACACCATACTTCAAGAGCATCAATTTTTCTTCACTCTTCCTTAATCCATGTCCAACTTTCACATGCCTGTGAGACTCAAGGTGGCTTGAGTGAAGTGCACCTTAGACCTCTAAGTAACACTTCAAAGAGGTGTGGTGCAGCAGATTTACCCAACGTAATGCATTGTCTAATCTTTTGACTGCTGTTTCCATGAGCACTGATTGTGGATTCAACCAAGATGAAATTCTTGACCGCTTCATTGTTTGCTGCATTCATCATGTTGTTACCTATTGTTCCACTTGCAAGGATTTTAGTCTTCTTCACATTGAATTGCAGTCCATACGGAAGGCTGCAGTCCTTGAACTTCATCAGCAAGTGCTTCAAGTCCTCCTCACATTCAGTAAGCAAGGTTGTGTCATCTGCCTATTACTGGTTGTTAATAAGCCTTCTTTCCATAGGGCATTCTTCTTCCGATAATTCAGCTTATTTATTTGCTCAGCATACGGATTGAATAAATATGGTAAGAGCATATAACCCTGACACACGTCTTCTGATTTCAAATTTTTATTTTGTTCAAATGACTGCCTTTGGGTCCATGTACAGGTTCTGCATGCCCACAGTAAAATATTCTGGAAATCCTATTCTTCTCAAAATCTTCCATAGTTTGTTATGATCACATGTTTAAATACCGTTTCTTTTTTTTAGTTTAGTTTTTTTTTTAATACCTTTTCATAGTTAGTGAAACATGTCTAAATAGCTTTCTGTTATTCTCTGCTTTTAACCAAGGCCCACTGAATATCAGCAATGATAGTCTTTGTTCCACATCCTGTTCTGAATCCAGTATGAACTTTGGCAGCTCCCTGTCAATGTACTGATGCAACCATGTTACACTATCTTCAGCTAAATTTTACTTGTATGTGATATCAAACATACTGTTCTATAATTTACATTATGTCGAGTCACTTTTATTTGGAATGGGTACAAATATGGATCTCTTCCAGCCAGTTAGCCAAGTAGTTCTCTTTCAGATGTTGCCCGTGTGGCTGTCAGGTGCCTCTGAAGAGGTTCATAATGACCGTGTGTACAACTGAAGGAAAGACTTTCCAGTCCTGTGCCATCTTCACCGCTGTTAGGTCTGAGCCCACCGATGCAGCTAATGTCAGTCCATCGTGTGGAAGGGTTCCCTCTCTTTCAGTGCCCTTGTACTTCACCACGCATGGATTCCTTCTCCACAGAGTGGTCTCTCCTGATAACATGGTCAAAGTACATGAGATGAAGTCATGCCATCCTTGCCTCTTAGGAGCATTCTGACTGTACTTCTTCCAAGACAGATCTGTGTGCTCTTTTACCATGGTACTTCCTGTGTTCTTTGGCCAGCAACATGCCTCAATTCTTCTTTGGGTTTCCTAATTCAGTGTCCTACTTTCACATGTACATGATGCGATGGAGAATACCTTGGGTCAGGGGCACCTTAGTCCTCAAAGTCCTATCTTAAAGTACGATGCTGTCGGTGATAGGATACTATCTACTCACCTACAAGGAAACCCAATCAATACAACTACTATTCAAATTTTGAATCGTGCCTCATTAGCAAGGCTTTACTCCATTTACAGCATTATGTCCGACTCTACTTTGACAAGGCAGCTCTTCCTCAGCCATATTTTCAGTGCCCTCTGCCACTTCTGGCGCAATCTCTGACAATATTTCTCTTTTGTTCATTAAGTTTCCAGTAACTAACAATGTTTCCATGTTATTTACTAGGTTTTCAGTGGCTAATTCCTCTGAAGTGGACAGCCTGTACCTTTTCCATAGTCTTGTCCATAGTCAGGAAGCTCTGCTGAAGCTTGTTCACTCTGAAGTACCAGTGGCATAGCTTCCCGCATCACAGCAACACACACAGCCCCCAGAATACAACAAATGGACAAATACATGCTGCCCGTCATAAATATCAGTACTTACCATCCGTAAGATGCTATGAAAACCAGGGGTAAACCAAATGTATGCTATTTTTTATAATAATGGGATTAGGTTGAAGAAAACCAGAATTTCTGAAGCAACTACTTTGTGCCACCATCTGTAGCACTGCTTTATATGCATTAGCAACAAAGTGGGGAATTAGTAAGAGATGAACAATTAACAGTTTTCTAGAGATTTGGTTTCTAACTCTAGATTTGGAATCTAATAAGTGACCTTGAACAAGTCATGTTTGTATCTGCAAAAAACAGAGGTAGGGACTTGGAGCAGAGATTGAATGGGAGGAGTAGACATCAATGATTGCTAAGGTCTTTGTCAGGTCAAAAGTGATTCTAATGGAAAGAAATCCTCAGCCTTGAAAGAAGTGAAGACGTACCCTAGGAACGGTTTTCTAAAGAGGAGCAGCTCGATCACTCATAATTAAGTTTTGGTATTATATATGTATGATCAATTCCAGTAATAGTCAGGGAAGTAAAAGTACTCAATTTTAAGGGTAAGGGGAATAACCCCAATGCCAACGGAAGTACAAACAGCTTCTAGAAGCAGGCTTGGATCAAGTCACCCTGAACTCAGTATCTAGCCAAGCAGAGACTGCCGAGGATGCCAGGGAAGATCAGGAAGATGCTGCGGCTTAAAAACCAAACCATCAGAGGATGCTGAAGCTGACAAGGCAGGGACGAGGACAGAACAGCGATGCCAGTTTTGAATGACATAACAATGAATCTATTTCATTTACGTGGTGGGCTCTTCAACTGATTGTGGGCAGTGTGACTGTCCTCCCTGACAGACATGTGGACCAAAGTGCACCCTTTCTCGTGATGTTTCTGTTGGACCCCACTGGTTTCCCCACTAGTGCTCCAGAGCACAGAATGTTCCCATAGTGATCGGGAAACTCTGAGAAGTATATTTCTGGAAACTTAGATGGGTTATATTCTTATTATATCACTGGGCATGAGTGGATCTATTTTCAGTGTGGTACGGGTTTTCCCTTTTCTTCCTAGGTCAGGTTCTTCCTCAATTTTTTTCCCTATTGTAAAATCAAACGTAAATCATTAGGACACAGGCTTGTGTATTCTAATGCACGTTAGCACTGACTATCCAGGAAACCCCAGGCTGCATGAAGAAAAGTGCGTCGACTGTGCAGTTCCCTATTGGTTTCCGGCTTCCTTGAGTTTGAGCGATGTGCTTGTTGACCCCGATGGTCACAGATGCCGTCTCTGCACCAGGAACTGAGGGGGGCGGGCAACATTTCCAGAATGTAAAAACAAACAAAAACACATACCCATGTGCCTTTTCACAACCAACTTAGTTTATCTAAAGGATCTCTGGTTCTTTCAAAGTTTCTGTGGTAAGGAGTGATGTGTAGGAGATGCTATAGGATTTTATAGTTTTGCTTATAAATGTGAACCACCAATTCTTTTTCATTGAAGTTAAGTTGAGAAATTTGATTAAATAGCAGCTGAAGTGTCATTTCAATTGGGAAAATGTATTTACATCTGTGGTAAACTTTATTTTGATGAAAAGTTTGCATTAGTATTTTACCACCAGATTTTTAAAAAAACTGAGCATCACTTAAGAAATTAATGTATTTAAAATAAAGTGCAGAGAAAAACACGTATATAATATATCAGGCTTTGTTTTAACTGGAAATACCCCCTCCCCAATCCTTAAAGATCATGTGCTATAACTTTTAAAGCCATACCAATAAGAGTTCTAACCTCTGGACTTAAAAGTAGGTATGTAAATATTTTTAATCAGTATTACTTGGAAAATAAAATATATCAACCACATAAAATAGACAGGGTTCTCTAGAGAAATAAAACCAAATTCCTAATAATATAATATATTTATTTATAAAGATAATTAATATATAATGAAAAATGAAATGTTAAATCATAGAGATAATTAGATATATAACGAGAAATGAAATGTTAAATCATATACAGATAAATATACAATACAAGAAATAAACAGTTAAATTAGAAGCACTATAAATGGCTTAGTGCAACTCACGTCCGTGAGAGAAAGTTGAGAGACTAGCAGTCCTTGAAGTCTCTATTTGATGCTAGATCTTCCTCTATTTGTAGAGAGAGCTAGGTTATGTCAGCACAGCAGCCAATCACAAGGCAGGTCACCAATCGCCAGTCCCCAGCTCCAGAGAAGTCTTAAAGGGACCTCAACTTACAGCAACACAGTCCACAGGTTAGGCATCCCACAGGCTGTGTAGCCTTTAAATTGAAGCACAGAACAAGCAAGGCAGCCGCACACTGGTCCGATGATCACAGAGCGAGAGACAAGAAAGGCAAGGCTCACCAAGCCATCCATCTCTCTCCCCCTCAGTCAATCCCACCTGCGTTTATCAGCCAGGCTGGCACAATAAACTGTCTCAAAAATATATCAACCACATACAATAAAAAAATATTTTTAAAGTTGGAACCCACCAGAACACTATTATCCTCAGAACACTGTAGAAATACAATCATTGAGATGCCTATCTCTTTAAAACTCCAGCAAAGTCCCCTGATGGGCAGAGTCAGCAATTTAGACCACCAAATGCTTGGTGGGTAAGGGGTGGTAGACTTTCTGTCCTCATGATCATTCGCAGGTCTATATTTTCCTATGGTGTTGCACACCAGAATTGTAGTGGCCATGGCAAAAAGCTGTTACAAAGGGTGTAGAATTATATCTTAGGCCACGATATCCCACAAGCTCGAGACACATAAAAGCCAAGATGCAGTTTTACTTTGTGGGTCCTATGACACTTCTCCAACCCTCAAATGGTCATCTGTAATGGGCTGGCCCTTTTTGTAAACAAGAGGTCTTTGGGCCTGCCATCTATCTCCCTTTGCTAATTCACATACCTCCAGAAAATTCAGCAGTAGATCCAGATAGGGGTGAAGTGTGAGCGTGAGGGAGGGTGGGGGTAAGGACTGGTTAATTCTGAAAATTCAGTTTTGAAAGGGGTGCATCCTTTCCCAAATCACCTGGTGACGAGAGGATGCTCCAGTTCTCTACCATGTTCTCTCCTGGGCCTTTTTCAGATGGGAAACCAAAGACCACTACCTCCAGTCATACTTCTGGGACCCCTTCTTAAAAACTAGAACAAACTTAATCCCCAAACCCTAAAGAAAAACTGATATTCTTTGTCATAAATGAAGCAGTGGGGAACTTAGTGTGAAAACAGTCGTCTACATTCCATTGGCAAACTAGCCACCATTAACCACAGCTCTCCAGATAACTAGATGGCATTTTAAAAGCTACAAGGGGCTATGATAAAACCTACTTATCTTGATCCTAAGAGTCCCACAGGAAACACGGTGTTAAGAGATTAAATTTATAAATCTACCCCCAGACATCAGGAAGAAATGACAATGGTAAGGGATAAGTTCAGCAAGCCTGTAGATCTCTAGTAAGTTTTGAAGAAAACAGACAGCGGTCTGCCCACAGGGATGAGGTGGGATAGAACTTTGCCTAAATTTGTCATTGAACCTGCTCCTTATAGATTAGGACATCTGAAATACTTTTCACTTTGAAAGCTAAAATGCCTACTGCCAGGAGAAAGAAGGATATTTTAAAACCCTCTAAAGACAGTAGATGCTTCTATTTCAGTTACTTTCAAGGTTGCCTTGTGACAGTCTGTTTGGGTCTACCAAACATTTGCCACCTAGTATTATAATGCTTAGCGTCATCTGCCCTAACCTTCCAGGTTACTGTTTGCCTTAGGGAACAAGTGCAAAAATTGTCTAAATGCTGCAAAATTACCTGGCATTAGAAAAAAAAAATCCTAGGTATATCTTTCTCATCTAAAGAAAACCAAATTCCTGATTTGTTGGCAAAACCAGCTACAGTACTGAACCTCGAAATTACACACCCTCCTGAAGCAACCAAGGATCAGCCTCCCTTCTGACAGGTGACTCACCAGCAAGTACAATTCAATTACCCCCACCTGTGCTACTTGGTATATCTTTTCATCTGCAATTATGTTGATTGCATCTCTAATTACCTTTTACCTTTTAGAAGGCTAGCTGTGTGAATTAGAATGCTTTTGTTGAACTGTCAAAATTCATAGCAAGAGCTAGTAATCTAATGCAGTGTTAAATGTGCCACAGGAAACTCCCCTTTTAACTGTCCTTTGATTCTCCTCCCACTTTAAACTTTTTAACATAATTAAGTTAGATTATGGTCTCCTCTTCAGTAACCTGACTATCTCTTTTTTAGGGGTTCTCAACCTGTGGGTTGCGACTCCTTTGGGGGTCAAACAACCATTTAACAGGGGTCACCTGATTCATAACAGTAGCAAATTACTGTTATGATCTTGTTTTAATCTCATTTACAGCCTAGGTAAATGCTTACTTGTGTGGCATACAGTTGCCAAATCAATTTCTTCATTTGCCTTTCTAGGGAAGTAGATGTTTTATAGTACTGCACCAAGCCTTTCAGTCACCATGCAGCATGGGAGCCCAGCAGCAGTGCTTAAACTCTGTAGTCAAAGTACCCCAAACGACAGCAGCTTTGAGCTTTATTGTTACTGCCCCAGTAAGTTATAGTCTGGATAGTGGTCATTCATTCCTCCTTGTGAGACGTAGATAGATAACACAGGGAAGGTGGAAGGAGACATACACAGAATGAGACATTGGGCCACATAGCGGCTACACACTACAACAGTCCTACCAACACCAGACTTATTTAAGTGGCTGCCATCGAGCTGTGCACAATAGGAAGTTCAGCTTTACAAGGGATAGTAGTCATTCTATCTGCATTCCACTCAGTATTATCTTTTGCTGCTGCCTCACACGTAGCAGAGGAAAAAGAACTACTTGATTCAACTTGATGACCGTAAGCTCTGGTCGGCGCTATGAACGTTCCTGGTGCAGACCGACAAGATGGGACCCAGTGAGATCCCAGCACTGAGAGTGTAGAGAGCCTGGCATGGCTGCCGCCTCATCCCAGCTGAAGCCCGGGTGAAGTATCAGCGTGCTTTCTTCAGCCTCGGATCCAGAGGCAGGAATGTGTCAGTGGCAGAAGCTGAAAGCATTTGTTCTGCAAGAAGCCGCAGCCTGCACCCAGAGTCCTGCTCTGGTCCTGGGCCTCCACTCAACCCAAAGCCGTCTCAGGACTGTCTACACGCACGTTTCTAACCACGAAGCAGCACAAGTAGCCAGGACAGATTCTAGAAAGGGCTCAGACAAATAGTGTTCTTACAGAAAGATGGAGACCCAACCCGACACACGCGGGGACACTCACACAACTTAGAAGCCTGGGCTAAAAATGCTCTCGGAACTGGAATATGTAGGAAAAGGGGGTTTTCTTTCATTTCAGCCTGTTAGACCAACTAAGACTTTCCTGTGTTTACAATAGAACTTAAACTAAGATTTTTTTTTTTGAGAACAAAGTAGAAGAGAGAAACATTGCATAATTTGTGCCTTTAATATTGACTTTAGACAGGTGTGGCGTTGGTGGTACCAATCCATCCTCACCTCTCTTTCCTTTTGTCTCATAATAATTATGGGTGTGAGGCTATTGGTGGCATATTCTGAAAGAACAGACCCAATCCATCCTGAAGGACCTAGACTGCTGACCAGGCCGATGAATGACTCACAGCCTCCAGTCCAGCATCTCTCCTTGAAAGAACTTGCTCCCTGTTCGTACAGAGTGTTGAGAGACTTTTATCCATAGAGGCAAAGTGATGACACACTACACCCCATGTTAGCAGCGGAAGTAGCTACGAAGGAGAGACCTCCATCCTTGATCCCTACCGTTCCCAGAAATCCTGCTACCCCCCCCCCCCAGCAGAATGTCTCAACAGGCTCTTCTACTTGAAAAAGCCAGCTTCAGGGCGCAGGTGGTGGTGCAGAGACACATCAGAGAGCCTGCGGGTGGCCAATTTCTCTCTCAGGGAAGGCTCTCTAAAATCCCCTGATTTGAAAACTCCATTCTGTTCCTCTCAACACAAATATTTATTCCAGGAAAGCTAGAACCTGAAGCTCTGATGACACTGACCACTTAGGGGTCTTTTTTAGGTGCTAATTAATACTTTTAATCTTCCCAATATTACAAAGTAGCTTATGTTATTAGCCCCATTTTAATGGTAGAACACTAAAGGTAGATAATCAGTGATTCACCCAAATCCCTTAATCTAAGCGAGACTGAGTTTGAGCTCAAATCTGACTCCCAAACCCATTCTCGGAATCCCTCCACTAAAATGCTTTAGAGAAATATAATGAGCTCATTTTTCAAAAGCAGGAAAAGCGCATTTTAGCCAGGGTCAAAAATGTGCTTTGGGGAAAGAGTTACATCGTTTTCCAATCCAAAGGATCGGCAAGTACATTTCTCTTGTAAGCAGCATCCTGAGTCTTCGTGTTGGGGATGTAGTGTCCTTCGGCCATGCGGCCCAGGAAAGAAAAGTTCGTCTCCCAAGAGCAGAGAAGCTCCAGGTATCTGGCCTAAGGGTAGAAAGAGATCGAGGCAGTACAGTGGATTTCTTTGTTTTTATATACTTGTACAGTAGTGTCTCCCATTCATGTGGTAAAAAGTCATAAATGTGTTGTCCTTAATGCTGAAGGGAAGTAAAAATCCCCTGGGAAGGTTTATAAATGTTTTGCCATCTTCAGCTCCACTTTAAGAGATGCTAATGATTTGAGGAAGAAACTTTAAAAGCCCAAACAGGCGACTCCAGTTAGAGATGGGCAAGAACCTAGACACTAAGTGAATGCCATCGTGTCAGACGGTGTGTATTTTACTGGAAGCTGGGTTTTCTAAGCCCTAAATACTTTTCTGTGTGCTGGGCTTTATCCTCATGCTAACATGCGCTTAGTGTTGACACACGCCGCCAGGCAGAGCCACATTTGTCCATCCTGGGCTGAATTGTACTCTCAAAGGCAAGTCTACTAGCAGGTCCCACAAGTCAACTCTAAAGGCTGTCCTAATGCTTTTACTCTCCAGTATGAAGCTGGACTCCTAATGACCGATGACGTGTTCTTCTGGGTAATGTGTTTAGGGGACACACACACACAAGAAAGAAAAAGACAGGCATCCATCCATTCCATTTTTCCACCTTCCCCATACCTAGGAACTACCTGAAGGGTTGGTTTAGAAAATGCTCATCCGGAGCCCTACCCACACTTAAGAATACAATCTGTTCTTAATTGCTGTAGTGTTGTCTTCAACGTATGTGCAGTGAGACACTGCCCTGTGAGCTCCAGCTTCACGATCACTGGTGTGTGAGGCGCTGTACTTGCTCAGGCTATCCTGGCAGTCGTCTCACTAAGCATGTCCCTGGTTTTGTTTCCAGTGACTCTCCTTCACCACCCACGATGTCCTTTGCTAGAGATTAAGTTCTCCTGATGGTGCACACAAGCAAGCAAGCGAGAGTGCTCGTGTGTTTTCCTTGGCGTGAATTGTTGATTTTCCGACAGTCCACAATCAGTGTTCACCAACACCACAGTGTAGGCACATTTCCTGTCCGTTTCATTGTCCAGCTCTTGCATGTACGTGAAGCAGTTGTAACCACTGTGCCCACCGTAGTCAGCAAAGGGAATCTTTGCTTTTCAAAACTTTACTGAAATCTTTTGCATCAAATGTGCTCAAAACGGCGCCCCATAACTTTTGGACTGCTGTTCTACTGGCATTCGTCGTTGATTTAAATGGCAGAAATCACTGGAAATGTAAATTGCTTCTCAACTGGACATGCTTAGCAGTTAAATTGTGAGGGCTTTTGTTTTCTTCTGAAACTCCATATTGAAAGTTTGACTTTCAATTAATCTTAATTTTAAAGAAATAAGGCATGAAACTGTTAGGTTTCTGGAATGGTTTTCCTCCCTCTTGCTTCTCTACACCGAAAGAATTCACGCGGCAGAAGCACTTTTGTAAATTCAAGTAACTTTCGTGGGGAAAGGGAAGCTTCCGGTAGGACAGTCGCTGATGGTACAGGCTCTCTCTGCACAGCGTGCAAGGCTGCGTGGCGGGGCCATGGGAACGTTCGCGACTGAAAACGGCCGCTTCCGGGGACCCGGAAAAATGGCCAGAAAGTGGAGTCCACAGTTAGAGGCATATAGAAGCTTTTAAAAGAGGAGTGCCGAACCGAAACGGGAAGAAGAGAATACGAGCCCTGAGAGGGCACAAGAGTGCTGAGACCCTGCCCTCCACCCATCCCGAGATAGAGTACCTGAGAGAGAGAGGCCTGCCCACAGTCTGTGCCACTTAGCCACTCCTCTCCCCACTTGTGGGGGAGAGAAGGGGCGTGGTTGAGGGTTTGGGCTGATCTTAGTGGCTGAGTTTAGGCACCTGTTTGACGTAATGTTGCTGGTGCCTAGTGTGTGTACCCAGGTTGACTTTCCCCTGCACCTTGGTGACCTTGGTCTGAGCATCCCCATAGGTGTCTAATGTGTGCCTGATTTCTGTCCAACCCCCCTGTTGTGGCGTGGCCAGCTAATTTTTGTTTAGCGTAGGCATTTAGTGGATGGAGACAACCCCCTCTGTCCCTCATCTTCCTACCGATCAAAGCCAGTTCAATGGAGAAAGGATACTATTTTCAACAAATGATATTGGAATAATTCAGCATTTGTGTTAAAAAAAAAAAGTCAGCCTAGAAACAGATTGCATACGTTATGCAAAAATTAACGCAAAGTGAATCATAACTAGCTGTAAAATGCAGATGAAAAATTATAATATAAAATGTACACAACACTTGTCATTAGAAAAAGCAAATTAAAACAACAAGATACCCCTGTACAGCGATTAGAATGGCTGAAATCCAAAACTAAAGTATCTGGAGAGAATATAGAGCATTAGGAACTCATAGTCATTGTTGACTGGAATGCAAAATGGTATAACTATTGTGAACGACAGTCTGTGTGTCTTACAAAAATAAATATTATCTCATCATATGAGCCAGTAATAATACTATTAAACATTTATCCAAATTTTTTAAAAATGTAAGTCTTATAAAAACCTGCATGTGAATGTTTATATCAGACTTACTCATAATTACAAACAAATCCAGTGACACTCATGTATGTACAGAACTTTATATAAGAAGCCACTGTACATCAAGACGTCACTCCCATCCCATCCAACTCAAGCCCGATACTAACTGGGCTGTCTTCAGGCTGATGGAACTGCAGGCTGATGATGGCAAAAGATGAAGCAGGATACAGGGACGTTACTGGCCAGTTGTGGCAGAATCTCTTGGATTCAAGGTCGATAGAAGTATCTCAGGGCTCCCAAGTTCAGGTAGTTCTCAAGGGGACACCCATGGAGGAAGACACAGAGTCTTAATGAAGTCCTGGTAAGGAGGAAAAGGATAGAGTGCCAGAGAGAGAGATAGTCTCTATCCGCCTTGCTCTTAAACAAAAGGCACATGCCATCAAGGAGGTGTCATCAGGTTTCAACTTGATTGATATGTTTAACTCTACCCCTAGCCAGGAGTGTCCAGTTGACACAACCCCTAACTACCACAATGTGGAAGCAGTGAAAATGTTTTGCAGTAGATTAATAAATCAAGAAAATGAAATGTATGACGGATTCTTTAAAACCCTCTGCCATTGAATGTATGCCTTCTCAAAGCAACCCTATAGGACAGAGTATACAGCTGCCTAGAGTTTCTAGAGCTGTAAATCTTTATGGAAGAAGATTGTAGCATCTCTCTCTTACGTAGCAGCTGATTGATTTGAAACACCCCTTTTGGGTAAGCAGCCCCGTCCAAAAAGGCTACATCACACAGAAATAAGTGTCTTGATTATTTAGAATTATAGTAACTCTTAATGTTAAATAATATCAGTCTCCCAACTTTCTTTGCCTGTTTGTATTCTAGAAGTACCAGTAAAGATGTCTACCAATGCTAGGAGGTATTTATATCTTTGGATTAGGACAGTATAGTCAAATCTATTTTCCAGCCTTCTCCCGGGTAGTACCTATAATGCGGAACTGGTCTCATTGAAAAAGAAGGACCAGGGTGATTATTTAGATGATTACATTGGCAAATCTCGCATCCTCTGACTACAGCGTTTACTACTTTGGTTAGGTGTCTTCCTTGCATGCTTTTATGCATCAACATTCTAAGTTATCTCTCCCATAATGGAAGGCTTGGTATAGGGTCTTAATTACTTACCAAGCTTTAGCGTCAGGAAGCTACAGAGTTCCTTGTGTGTTCTTTAGCCAGCCATCCTTGGACTTACTATACATCTGCCTCCCTGCTTGAGTCAAGTCTTGCACACAATACCAGAGCCTTGTTTCCTTTAAATTTGAAGGAAAGAAAGCCAGACAACTGGGGAAAGTGTTTCTCTCCTGCACCTCCTGCCTAGGCCTCAGTCAGTCTTTGAATTTCTGGGAGTTATGAGGCTGCTGTCTTTTTTGTATCCTCTATAATGCATCACAGCTTTTTCTTTCAGGGTTTGTACTGCTTCTGAAAACTGTAATATGAGTTTTGCATTCTTAATTTTTTTGGCAGTCAATAGATCCAGCTCTTTCCAAATATATACATGCTAATGAAGTATGAGAAAATCATGTTTTGAGTCTGTGAAGATGTTCAAAACTTTACCTTTTCCTAATTTGAGTATTCTAATGAGGCCAATTGGGTGCCAGAAATAGGGCTTGGGCTTCTATTACCTGAGTTTGTCTTACAATGGTCTCACCTGCTTTTTGGGTACTGCTTAAGTAAAAATCTACTGCCATGTGGATACCATTCAGCGTCAGGGTTGTCTACTGGGAAAACTCTCAAATCTCTTCAGCTGGAAAATACTTTTCTAGTGACTTCCACACAATTATGGCTGAGATGGTTGGGACATTGCTGTGAACAAAATGGCCGAATTTAGAATATGGCAAAATTTGACAGTGATTTCTGGGTCATTGAAAAGGGCAGCTTAAATTTGAATAATTCTACCACTGGACAACCAGCTAGGTCCCTTAGTCGCAAGACTTGTTAAAACCTGGTGAATACTTTCATGGGCTATCCGGATATGAATTTAGATTTCTCTTTCATTAATAATGCAGTAGCTGTCACTGTGTTCATAAGCAATAGGCCAGCCTTGACCTATTGTATCCAACCTCTTTGAAAAATATGCCACAGGTCTTGTAGTTGGCCCTAAATGCTGACTTAAGTCTCCCGGAACAGCCCCTTTCCTTTCATGTATATAATCAAAAAGACTTAGAAGGATTTGGGAGGTCTGCAGTTGGTGTTGAGTTCAACTTGTCTTCCACTCATTGGAATGCTCATGAGCACTTGGTATGGAGGTAGGGTGGGGAGTTTTTTCTCCTTTGAGAGTCCCATAACAAAACTTTGCTAAAAATCCAAAGTTAGTACCTAGCCAATACTAGAAACCCTCTCAACTGGCACCTAGTTCTAGGATCAATCAAGTCTCAAATTAACTACTTCCTCTCTGAGAAAACATGCAGGATTCTGGATTCTAGATAAAGCTCCAGTACTAAACTGCTTATATAGAATTCTCGGTCTCCTTTGAGAAAATTTTATACCCCTTGGTAGCTAAAAACTATAAAGTTCTGATTGAATTCAAGCCTGATGCTTCCTTGGAGGTGCTGGCAATCAATAAGTCCTCATCTTATTAGAACAAACTTCCTCCTCTCACTCTAGTTCTTGTAACGGTCCAGCTAGTGTATTCCCCAAAAGGTGGGGGTGATTCTTGAACTTCCTTGGGTGCACAGTCAAGATATACTGTGCTTACAATTGAATCTTAGTATCCATCCACTCAAAGACATCAAGGTCTTGACTCTCAGGGTAGAATAGGATTTTTAAAGGGGGGCACCTTTTAGGTCTAGAACAAAAAAATAGGAATTTGTGTTAGATGCAAGGTGATGAATAGGCATCACAGCTTCATTCACTGATCTGGGGTCTTGTACAAAGCAGTAACTTCTATCAGGTTCCTGTGCAGAATGTACATGGGGAGATTGCAAGGAGACTGGCAGGGTTTAATGAGTCCTTGTTGGAGAAAATGGCTTAAAACAGGGCAAATTCCTTTTAGGGCCTCAGGCTTTAATGGGTATTGACTTCTAGAAGGGAAAGAGAGTCCTAGTTTCAGAATGATCTTTTTTTTCAATTAATAAATCATTTTATTGGGGACTCTAACATATTACAGTCCATAAATCAATTATATCAAGTGAACTTGTACAGATATTGTCATCACCAATTTCAAAACATTCTCTTTCTTCTTCAGCCCTTTAATATCAGCTCCTCTTTATTCCCTCCCTTCCCTGCCCTACCATTCTCATGAGCGCTTATATATTATATATTATAATTTTTATTTTTACACATCTTACACCATGTGATATATCCCTTCACCTACAATTCTGATATCCATCACCTTCAAGGGGGGTTATGTTGCCATCACTGCTTTCAGTTTACCCTTCCTTACTTCCCTTCCCATACTCTCATGGTATTGTTACTCCCATCAGTGTTACTAAGGGGTTTGTCTATCGTGGATCCATGTCTCAAAAGCTCTTATCCATACCAATGTACATCCACTGGTCTAGCAGGATTTGTGAGATAAAACAGAGGTCATAATACTGGAGCGAAGAAGGATTAAAGAACTAGAGGAATGCTGTGTGTTTTGTTGGTGCTATACTGCACCCTGGATGTGTTGTCCCTTCCATGTGGCCCTTCTGTGAGGGAATGTCCAATTACCAACAAATGGGTTTTGGGTCTCCACTCTGATTCCTCCATTTCACATCCATGTGATTGTTTGTTTTTGAACTTCCCGTTGACACCTTATGATCACACAGGTTGGGGTACTTCTTCTATGTGGATTCAGTTGTGCCCCTGCTTGTTAGACTTCAAGCCTTTAAGACCCCAGATACTATATCATTTAATAGCCAGGCACCATCTACTTTCTTCACCACATTTACTTATGCACCCAATTTGTCTTAGTGATTGTGCTGGGAAGGTATCACCCAGTGCTGTGTCATTAGAAGAGTGTTCTTGTGTTGAGGGAAGTCTTAAGTAGAGGCCCAAAGTTTGTCTGCTACCTTAATGTATTACCATATAATTATATGTACATAGATGGATATCCCTATCTTTATGTATTAATCTATTTACATATATACATGTCTACATTTATACCTCAAAGTATAGTTTTTTACTTCCTAGTTCTTTCCTTTATTTCCTTTTACCTTCCTACTGCCCCATTATCATGTTCACCTCTTAGTAATTCCTCTCAGCAGGGTACAATTGATCAAACACCACAAAGAACTTTACTCCCTCCTTGCTGTTGATTTTAGATCTCTTGTTGTTCCCCTGTCCTTGACATTATTGGCTCACTGCTCGCTTCACCTTGCCTCCTCCACTCCTATGCCCCCAGGAACAATTGGTCCCATTGCTTATCATGACTGTCTTACATAAATAAACATAAAAAAAAACAAAGACACGACCAACAACAAAAATCCCTATAAATAGGTCAAGGTCTATAGCTAACCTTTATGAATATCCCCCAACAAGGTCCAATGGGGGGCGGGAGGGGGCGGGGGCTGGCAAGCACTGCCCAACACCCCCTCCCACTCACCAAGAGTCAGAAGTCTATTTTCTGGGATCCTCAGGAAGTTTGTTGATCTGCTATGCTACCTCTTTGATTCACCCCAAGGTGGATGGGTCAGAGTGGACTCACTCCTCACACTGTGTCTCCAAAGTTGTCCACTGTAGCATTGTGATCCAGTGAGGGGACATATCATATCTCGAGCTGGGGTTGGCCCTATATTCCTCTCTGTGCATTAGCTGCTACAAGCAGGGACACTGCTCTTTAGGCTTTGTGTGCAAGGATTAGGTCCAGTCTTTCTCTCTCATTCACTCTTAATTTGCTACCATGTGGATGGGGTAGGCTGGTCACTCTCCACAGTTTGTCTCTTCAGTGCTGTCCTCTGTAGCACATTGTTTTCTAGCTTGGATTGGGGCTGCCTCACTGTCCTCTCCGAATGAGCTGCTCCTTGAAGGTATGCTAACCTCAGGGCTTGGCGCGCCCGAATGAGGTCTGTTCGCTCCCTTTCCTGTGGAGACATAAACAATACTCTCCCTTGGATGGATTAGTGCCCTGCTCTCCAGTGTCATCGTCTTCTTTTTTTCCTCCTTCCCTCCTCCCTCTGTGATCCTTAAAGGCATGAGAGAGGTGGAAAAGATGTCTTTTAGCCCCAAGGACATCATTCCACCCACCCCCCTTCTTTTCATTGCGACAGCATATGCTTCCTTGGGTTTGGTCTGACCACTGCTGGAGTGGCTGGATCTCAACCTATAAAATTATGAATTAAGTTGCTTTTCCTTTATACCCACTGTGCTGATTGAATTACCTCAGTGGACTCATGTTGTAGTTGCCCTTTTGTGCTTGGCTAACTTCGCTTAACATAATGTCCTCCAACTCTTCCCATGAGACGATGTGCTTCATGCATTCATCACTGCTCTTTAGGGATGCATAATACTCTATTGTGTGTATATTCCCATTTTTATTTTTTTTATTTTTCAAAAATACTTTTATTGGGGGCTCTTACATCTCTTATCGCAATCCATACATCCCTCCAATGTGTCAAGCACATTTGCACATGTGCCGCCTCATCATTTTTAAAGCATTCTCTTCCCACTGGAGCCTCTGCTATCAGTTCCCCATTTCTTTCCCTCCCTCTCTGCCTGCTCACCCTGAAGAACCCTTGATAAGTTATAGATTATTTTTTCATATCCCACTTGGTCATGATGGATTATATTTTTCATATACTTTTGTATTCTATTGGCGAATATTTTGTTAAGGATTTTTCATCAATGTTCATTACAGATATTGGTCTGTAGTTCTCTATTCTTGTGGGATCTTTGCCCACTTCAGGTACCAGTGTTATACTAGTTTTGTAGAATGAGTTTGGGAGTTTGCGGCCCTTTGCTATGCTCTGGATTATTTGTGTAGAATTGGTGTCAGCTCTTCATTGAATGCTTGGTAGGATTCTCCTGTGAAGCCATCTGGGTTAGGACTTTTTTAGTAGCAAGTTTCTTGATAACCTTCTCTAATTTTTCTTTTGTTACAGGTCTGTTGAAGTTCTTGATATCTATCTGGAATAATCTAAGGAAGGATTGTTTTCCAAACTATTTGTCAATGTCTTCCAAGTTGTTTAATTCATTGGAGTTCAGACCTTTGTAGTACTGTGTAATTAGCCTTTTAATTTCATTAGTGTCCAATGTAATGTCCCATGTTTCATCCCTCATCCTGGATAGTTATGTTTGCTCCTTTCTTTCTTTGGTTAGGTTTGCCAGCTGTCTGTCAATTCTATTAATCCTTTCAAAGAATCAACATTTTACTGCATTGATTTTTTTTTACATTGTTTTCTTCTTTTCCACTCATTTATCTCCATCTTGATTTTTATTATTTCATTTGTGGGATTATTCTGTTGACTCTGCTCTAATTGCTGGAGGTTTTGTGATAGCATATCAAACATAAGTTTCTCTTCCTTTTTCATATGTGCATATGTCACTATCAAACACCCTCTGATAACTGCTTTTGTTGTGTCCCATAG